AATGGATAGCGGCTTGGATTGAGGAATCAGAGAGCTGAGTTTGAATTCCAGTCAAATCCATTGCATTCACTTATGTGCTGATACCCTTGATAAAGGTATAAATCCTCTTCTCCTCCAGCTATGGGTAAATAGCAGGATAGACTGACATGGCAACTGGTCTACTGCAGAAAGAAATGGCAACCTACTGTGGGAAAAAAATCTGCCTCGTCAGTCATGTATCAAAAGATACATGATCACTTAAGCGTGTATCACATCACACTTGCCAACTGATGTATATTTTCTATTAACCACAGAAAAATTGCTTTAGCCATTTTTTTTTTTATAGCAAGCCACTTGATTTAACACATAATCTAGTTATTACATCAAGAAACTTCCCTCCATACTGTTAACAGGTCAACTACCTTTTATGCACATCTGTCTTGTGATATATTTGACGCAAAAATGCGTTACATGTATGGGGAGAGAAAAAGAAGTCAGTGCCTTGAATATCATTCTTTGTAGTTTAATAAATTTAATTTTATTTCATAAAGTCATCTATAACAATTTCTGTTCTTCAAACATCTGAATATCACTGAATTATTAACTGCAGCAGCCATGTTTGTTGCTATATTATTTTTTTTTTTTATCAAGGTGTCTCAATGTCTCTCAGCTGTAAACAAATTAAAGGGTTTGGAATTGAGATACAGAAGAATATATAAGAAAAAAAAGCTTATATTAATTTAGATATTCAATTTTGCTTCTATAAAGTTAAGCCATATAAAGTATTTCTCTGGCTTGTAATGACCTAATCTTTATATAATTTTACAAGTAAGTTTAGTTTTTAATAAACATTACAATTTATTTCAGATCTGTTAGTGCTACAAAGAAATATATTAAGAACTATTTCTCATTAAACATATTTAGTGAATACACATCTCTGAGTAGACATTTTTTTTTTTGTTCTTTTAAAAGACTGATGTCTACTGACATGTATTTTTTGAAAGTCTTTAAAAGAAAATGTGCCCTTTGACAGGGTCTGAATTTATATCCCCACTTATATAGGGGAAATCACCTTCTAGCCTAGTGTGTTTTTAGTTTGCTCAGCTATGAAGGATGCAGGCTTATTATATAGTCTCTCAAAAAGTCAAGGCTGGTGGATAAGAATTTAATTTACACTATTGTCTGGACTGTTGTCTTACTCTTTGTCATATTCACATTTCAGCCAAAACAGAAATATAGACAGATAATTTAATTGTTAGAAAAAAAAACAAACAGGTGTGTCTACTAAATATAACATTTCTATTTATGAGAAATAATGTGAGATTTAAAGTATCAATTTATACTAAGAATTGTAAAGTTTTAGGATTTTATTTTTTCCATACTTTGTAGATCCTGCAGCCATAGGCAAATTAAGATGGATTCAGCAGATATTTCATAACTATCATAAAACAGTTAAATTAGGCATTGTCAGTTATTAATTCAAGAGATGTGGCTATGCTAATTAACTTAACATGATGATATATTTATCAGTTATACAACCTGGTTTCCCTTGCTTACCTAATGGGATATTCTGTTGTTATATAAAGTATTGACATGAAATTGTTTATCATTAAATAGAAGGGGAGACCAGGCTACTAATATATTGTCAATTTAATGGATTTAAAGAAAAAAAAAAAAATTTCTTTCATACTTGACAATAGAATTGCGAAAATAAGTCTCTAGATGCAATATTTCGTATTTTGTAATGACTGGTGTTAGTTTTTGCTGTAAATAAAAAATACGCTAGTTGTAGGACGAAAGATTAGTACTGCACAAGGTCATCCATACTGAGCATCCAGTAAAGATTTGATTGATAAGACTGCCTCATTAATAACTACTGAAATCATGAACTGTTTAAGATGATGATGATGATATCAACAGATATAAATATACAATAACAGAAAGTTAATTTATATATTTATTATTCACACAACCTGAGCTACCTGACTTGAGATAGTCCATTATTATTGTAAGACACATCACTTGAGTACCTTTTGTATTAGTCTTCTTTGTTTTTGGAAATCATTGTAAGTTAAAATATCCAGAGTAAGATACTAAATTACAACTTGTAAAAATTTCGTACAACCATTTTTAAAAAAATTTTTTTTTTAGAAAATGCAGTGATTTGTTTTTAAAATAAATAATCTACTTTCATAGTACCTGTACCCCCCTCTAAAGAAAAGTGCAGGATTGTTTTTGGGTAATAAAACTAATCATGGGCAGAAGTGCCAATCCCTACCCAAAGACTCCTATTAGTGAGGATGCGATGAACTTTCTACACCAGAATTGTAGCACTGATTCAAATCTACACATGTTCTTGTTACAAAAAGTATTGTGAATTTAATTTTTGTTTGCATCTAGGCTGATCCCTAATTTTAGGATATCTACTTACCTCCATCTTATTTCCAAGACGCAGCCTCTTATATAGGCTGCTGTAGGAAAGAGATTGTAGGCATTCTTGAAAGAGGTGTGTCTTCAAATTCTTTCAAATGTAAGTTTTACTCAAGTTTGTTTTTTTTTTTTTTTTTTTTTATATATTTCACTTTCCTGATTTATATCAAATTTGGATTTTTGTATAACGGAAATTCTCATAATACGAATACACTGTGTGGTAGAAATACCTACCATGTAATGGTAAGACATTAGCTGGATGAAAATGCTATTGCCACTAATGTCTGCCACACCCTCTATTACTCTCTGAACAAGTTTAAAACTGAATAATTTTTTCAGTTACATTATCAATTAAAAAAAAAAAAAAAAGTTTTTAAGTTACAAAACAAGTTAGATTTAAAATGTATTAATTTTAAAAAGTACTAAAATTTTCTAGAACTTTCAATGTTTTAAAAAAAAAAATGGTGGTGACTTAAAATTTTGCAATTCAGGGATTCACAGAAATGTTAGCTGAATGTCTGTCAATATTTAAATTGATTCATTATTCTGATTTTAAAAGGGTTTATTTCATTTATATTGAACCAAAATTGAATTTATCAACTTTTCACACCAAAGTGGTTAGGTTTGCCTCTTTATGAAAGTGCTTTCTTTTTTGTTCTGAATATATAAGATATTGCACATTGAGTGCTGATGTTAATAAAATCATGTTCACTGTAATATAACAACTATTAAGTATATGTATGTATGTATGTATGTATATATATATATATATATATATATTAATAAATATACATTTTTTTCCCTCATGGCAGGATGACTTGGAGTTTCATGCACAACAAAGATTGCACTGTGCATGAAACTCAGTCATGCTACTGGTGAGGGGAGATATATATATATATATATATATATGTGTGTGTGTGTGTGTGCATTTTGTTTTTCATAAGATATCTCTTGGATTTAGTAACACAAAGATTGACTTTTTGGCTCTCAATAGGTTTTGTTTTTAATTTAGCTACAGTAATAGACAATTTAGTGAATTTTTTTTTTTTTTTTTAGCCTTTTTTCCATGATGTGACTTCATTTTCTAAACTAAAGAGATCAGTAACATTTCAAATGTATTCAGTTCTGTGAAATTTTTGAAAAGTATAAAAAAACATTTTTGAATTGAATGTACTTTATTTGTACAAATTCTGTTGCGACAAATAAAAAAAAAAAAATTGACAGTGTGGAATGTTGAAGAGATTTAGAAAAGGAGGAGGAGCAGATTTTGAAAGACGAGCTAAAATGGATTCTACATCTATTTGCAACAAACTGACTTCATTAAATAAATAAATAAATAGAGGCAATCTGTCTATTATTTCACACCATTTCACCCCCAAATTATTATTGCACTGCCCCTTCAGGCAAAAAATTAAACCCTATTTAAAAGGTATGCTTCTCCTGGCTCGTGTGTAGGAGAGATTATAAGAAGCTATGAACCGTTTTAGTTTTTAAATGCTCTGATTCTTAAAGAATTTCTTTTATTTTCCCTAAATATAGTAAGATTGCCAAATCTTATTCAAATGAAATATTATGTGTAAATGCAACATACATACCTAGATGCACACAACATACATAACCTTCAATTTGAATAAGATACAAAAGAAACTTATTTGATAATCTTTTCCTGGGGAGGGGTGATTTTATGGTTTTACTTGCTGTAGAAATGACTTTTTTTTTTAGTCATTTACTTTAAAAAGAGGGGGGGGAAAAGATTATTTTTTAATGATCTTAAAATTTTTAACAAAACAATATAATTTGCCACAGGTTCTGGTTTATTTTATTTTTTAAATTATTTCAAGGATTTTTCTTTCAGGATCAATATTCCGCGGAAAAAAAAAAAAAAAAAAGAAAAAATAAGTGGTTTAAACTGCAATTTTCCTGAAAACTAGAAGACACATTCCTTCACTGCCAACAATATTTCTGTTAAGCTAGCACTAAAGTATTTGAAATATTCTTTCATTACAATAACCCCCCACCCCTCCAGTAAAACTGGGGATATTAAACATTGTCAACTTTTCTTTCTTTCTACTAAGTTTGGATTATCCAAACAGCAGTTAATACTTTTTATGTGTTGTAATTTTTTGTTTTTTCCTGAAGAACCCTGACTCCAGAAATTGGAAGAAATTATTTTCTTTCACGTGTCACCAGAAAACATCGCCCTCCTCTTTGTAGCTTTTATTTATTTTTTTTTTTAAATTGTCCATTAACAACAGACAGAATTTAAAAAAAAAAAAAAAAAAAAATCACAATCAGCAAACTTTAAAAATAATGATTGAGGTCAGAATTTCACCTCTGTCAATATTTCCTTTGTATCTTACAAAAGATTTTTTTTTCTCTCAGAGTGAAAAAAAGAAAAAAAATTGGTTGATTAATCTAATAAAAAAAAAAAATATAAATATATATAATTGGAAAAGGTATGTCTGCTGTTGGTGCCACATCCACTAAGTTCTTGGAGCTGTTGAATAGTCCAGTTGAAGTGACATTGTTTGGCACATTTCAGAATGACTGACTGGCTAATTGACCAATCACAAATGTCTGCCAGATTTGAATTAGGACTTGCTGAACATGCTTTGAAGACTTGGCTTTTGTTTTTTATTCACGGTCTTCAGCAATGATGGTTTATAAAGGCCAAGTTTCATGCCATTGATTGCACAATGTTGGTTCAAATAAGCTTGGGTTGGAGAAACTGATTGCCTGACTGATAATTTAGGTATGGAGACTTTATTACAAATATTTCCTTCAGATGTGTTGCTGCTTAGAGACTCTAGAGAATCTGAAGTTGTTGGATCCCTAGGAGAATGTTCGGATTTTGTAGAGTGACGTCGCACACGACCGGCACAATCCATCAAGTTTGGATTGCACAAAGAATTGCCATTGAGGCGAGCAATGTTGAATTCAAGACCAATTTTCTCTATAGAAGAACGAGTGTCTTTAGAAGAATAAGAGTGAGAGCGAGGTCTCCGGTTATTGGGCATGTTTATTAATGGAGAGATGGTGCTCCCCATGTCCCAGCACTGCTCTGATGGCAACGGAGAGACCGATTGTGGAGTTTTTTCATCATCGCCTGAAATTTTGAGGCTCTCGCTGTTCGTCTCAAAGAAACTGGCTAGGCTACTGGCTTCGTCTGACATGGCTGGAGACTCGGGATTGCTGTAATTACTCTCTAAAGAAATGTTGTTGAGGAGAGAAGCATCGAGAGGTGTAGATGCTGAATCACTGACTTCTGATGTGGGGCTGACCATTTCGCAAGAGAGACTGGCGCTTGCTAAATCTGAAACATCAAAAGATAAGGCATTTGTGTCTGAATCACTGAGTGAAGAATTAGGATCATGTTTAGGTGATGGAATTTGGATCATTGCCAAAGGATCACAAGTAGAGAAGGCATCATTAATGTCAGAATGGTTGCTAGCAAGAGCACAAGAAGCATCTTTGCCAGGTAGACAGTTAGAAAGATCTGCAGATGAAGTTTCAGGGCTGCCTTGATTAGACACAAATTCCTCTTTACTTTCACACAAGGTTGGCTTTTCTGACAGACAGACATTGTCATTACCCAGACAATTGAGCATCGTTGTCTGTGGTAAGAAAGCATCAGAAGTCGGATTACTCAGTTGTTGATCATCTTTTGTTTCATTGAGAGAACAAGCTGATAGTTCAGAGTTGAAACTTTCTTCTTGGAGATTTTCAAGAGAAAGTTTATCAACTTTCTTAGATTCGTGGCAAGGGGAGGTAAAAACAGTATCTTCTGAGGTCATCTCGTCAACATCAGTCGAGCCACACTGAGACGAGTCGTTTTTAAATTCAGCAGAATTCAGTGAGTCGGAATGACAGCTACCAAAACTTTGTTCCGTGTTTTCATGCACATTTTTTGGAACATTTTCGACATCTTTTTTATCAGCTTTAGTTATAGAAGATTTTGGAACTTCTTTAATTCTTTCTTCGGAACATGTCTGCTGTGTGGCGGCTGCATCTTGGCTAACTGAATTGGTTCGACTGATGTTCCTTTGACTTTTTACTCTGCTCAAGTAGCCAATGGCTGCTGGATGATCAAAGCTTTTTGATCGACTAAAGGATCTACGTCCTAAGCCAAGTTGAAGCTCTGTATTTTCTTCAGCAGTTCGGGGCAGAGAAGCAATACGTGGGCCTTCAGTGACAAGGCGGTTTCGGTACTTCTTGACTGCATTACGTCCAATAAAAAGGTGGTTCATGGCTGTGGGAGATTCGATTGTTGGTGCAACAGAATTAGAGATGGGGCGTTGTTGAGCATTTGCAGCTGCAAAAGCAGAGGAGAAGAGAGCAGATTAGCAGAGTTGCAGATGTTCAGAAAGATGTCAAAGCAAACAAATTGCAAACTTATCTTTTTTTTTTTTTTTTTTTTTTCTATTGGTCAGTATTTGAAATGCTCTCTAAGTTACTTTATAGAATTTGGATTTGGTAGGAAGAAAAGTTCTTGCAGTTTCTAAATAAATTTAAGGTTTTACAAACTGGGAGAACTTTCCCTCACTATTGATATTTTATTTTCGGTATTAATAAATTTATGTACCTTATTTTTGTATTTTAAAATCTTTCTAAAATTTGGGATCTTTATGCAGTTTTAAAATAATGTAAAAGTTAGCAAAATTTGTTTTTTTTCTATCTTACACAATGCTATTTAATTTTTCCAGTAAAATGTGATAATCCAAGGCTGACCTCGACATGGATCAGCCTTGGATATGCTGCTAAAATAATATGAAGTCATTGGAACAAAAACCAAGCAAAAGTGAAAGAAAAGGTAGCAGCAAAATTTTATCTATTTGATCACTTAAATATGAGTATCCACTAAAAATGTTTGAGTAGATGTTCTGTTATTAAATAGAATATTTTCATCTGGCCTTGAATATTTGCGAAACATTTATTAAAGAAAAATATGCGCTCTCTCTAGCAAGAGAAAGGAAGGATGCAGGTTTGAATTTTTTTTTTTTTTTTAAAACTGTTTTAATTTTAACTTTAGTCAAATTCTACATTAAAATGGAGTTGGAAAAATTGATTTGATTGATTTTATTTTTTTTTTTTTATCAACCTTTTGCAAATTATTTAAAGCTGGGTTTCTGCACATAAGTGAATATAACTGACCCAACTGGCATTGGAGCTTGGCTTTCCAATTTTCAATTATGAGATATCCATTAAAATACCCACACATCCAATCTTACAGCACCTGGTATTTCCAAGAGGTCACCTATTTAGACAATGACCAGACTTGATATTGCTTAAATTTGGTGATTGTACAAGAATCAGTGTTTCAACATGATATGGCCATAAGCTTGGAATAAGCTAAGAAAAAATTAATAAAAGAACATGATAGAATGAGGTAAGAGAAAAAGACAGAAGTTGGTATTGTTAGAACATGGTAAAGTATCACCTAAAAAGTTGTTACCTGTAAGGATGATGTGTGCCTGAGTCTGCCGTTGACGTAATTTCTTATATTGCTTCTTCAAGGCATTCAAGTCTGTTGTCATGCGTTCCATATAAGCAGAAGATTTGGCTGAGGAGCCAAGGTCTGTGGGTACAGCAGTTCCATAAACTCCAGGACCCATCACAGAAATGTCACTGGAGGAGCAGCTGGAACCACCTGTGCCTTCTTGTTCTGCAGCTACAATTAAAAAAAAATAAAGAAAAAAAATTTGGAAGACCTGGACAAGCTCCAGGGTGCAGATTTTTTTTTGTTTTAGTCAGTTTCACCCCAAGCAACCCACTAAAACACAAGGATTACTGAGTGTTGAAGAATTAGGAACAGAAACATTAATAATGAGCAGGAAGAGAAAAGAGTAATCAGGAGGACAGTAGATAGCAATTGACATTGCATTTAAATTTTTGCAGATTAAAGTTGGCTGAAAAGCTTGGAGCTGGAAAGGAGTCCGACAAAAGAAACTTAGCATAGATTTTATGGTTACATCTAACTAATCTAGTACTGTGCTTAATTTAAAAAATATCTAGGTATCATACCATAGTGAAGAGCTCATCTGAACAATTGCCATGAAAGTATTTATAGAAAAGGCACAGAGAGGTATTTATTTAATGAAACAAACTTATTTATATATATATATATATAATAATTGTCTAACTAATATTAGTATTAATTCCTGACCATCAGCAATTCCTTAATTTTCAATGCATTTTTCTAACAAGAATTTATATTGAAAAACGCTTTTTGAAATCATTAGCAATTTACATTATACGAGACATATAGATAATATACAAAATAGCTCGCTTTTGCTCACATAAACCATGAAAAACATCTACATATAACATCCAAGCCCTTAAAAATGAAAAGATAAGATTAGAATCATGTAATAAACTAGAGTCTAAATTGATGTCAGTAAATCTTGAGCAAGACAACACAGAAGAAGAATTAAATGTTACCATATTTTTCATTAACTGAAGTGTGTGAGACGATTCCAAGAAGATAAAAGATAAACCCATGGAATAACAATTCTGAGATTTAAAAAAAAAAAAAAAAAATGATACAAGAAAAGAAAAATAGTTATCTCTTTAAAATTCATTATTCCTTTGATTTGTTTGTTTAATTGCACATCAATTCCTTATGGGTCATTTAATGCCAAATTTAATTTGAGAGCTTTGAAGTAATAAAAATATGATATATGTTATTCTGCTTTCACAATTGATTACCTGGTAGATGATACTCAGCTTTTGTACATATCTATATTTATGTTCACACAAACATGTATATGTGTGTTTTATGTTGTACTTTTGTTGAAGTTATATTTTGGAATATAGTTTCTCAATTTTATGAAGGAAGTCTGGAATCAGAAATGCAAAAAAGGTTGTCCTCAAAATCCTTACACAGAGAGGTATCTCAGTTGAATCCATAATGGTGAAAGTATTAATGAACATTATATTATGAGGCACGGTGGTGTAATGGATAGCAGCTCAAATTGAGGAATCATAGAGCTGGGTTCAAATTCCAGTCAAATCCATTACATTCACCTATGTGCTAATACCTTTGCGAAAGGTATGAACTGCCTTCTTCTCCTTCCAGCTATGGGTAGGTTCTATAGCCTTGGATGTCAACTGGTCTACCACAGAAAGAAATGGCAAAATACTGCAGGAAAAAATCTGCCTTGTCAGTCATGTATCAAAAGATACATGATCACATAAGCCAACTCCCCATGATGGTTTAATTATTGTTCTGGTAAGAGATGTAATGATGGCATATATGTCATCAAACAAGGCCATGAAATTGTATACCTGTTATGTTGATCGTACAGCAGCATATGACCATATCAATAGAGATTTCCTCTTCTCATCCATTAGAAACCACCTTCCAAACTCTGAATCCACTGAATGTATTGATCTAATAGAGAAGCTTTATTGGTCCACAAAATCTTACATGTCTGGTGAGGACCCTCTCTAATAGTAAGGCAAGGGGGAAATGAGAACCCAAGTATATTTAATCTCTTCCTAGACTAAACACTGCATTTACAAACACAGAAGAGAAAAGATGGGCATTGACTGTTTAAGCATTCCATACAACATCCCAAATGAATCTACCAATAGGAGACAGTGATCTGGTTTTCCTTCCCAAGGCCAATGTACTGATGATGAGGGATATGCTGATGACATAGGTATTCATACTTGGGATAAGAATGATCTTGAACAGAAAACATCCTCTACCAAGTGTTCCAATAAATAGGACTCAGAATAAACCTTTCCAAAATAGAAACTATGATCTGGAATTGGAATGAAATGAATAATGGCTCCTACCCTGAATCCATCGTAAAAGTATAGGATGTGGAATTAGTACATATTAAATACTTTGGTGTATAGATCAGTTACAACGAATTTAGTATAAGAGATAGAGAAATTGAACTGCACTAGACACCGCAAATTGTTATAAAACCAAAACATCAACCTGAAAATCCAAGTCATGTTCTTAAATAATCTCATCAGACTGAGACTTTCATGTGGATGTCATACATGGCACCAAACCCGTTCAGAAATATTTAAACTGTTGGCTGTATACAATCACTTTCTTGGATCAATGGTTACAAAGAGCTTTGAGTGAGTGAAGCCTGTGGATCTTTGGTGGCATTAAAATTAACAAGTCATTCCTTGATCCAGTTAACAGAATGTAGGTCATTTTTGAGCTCAGCTGCCAATTTGAACTGATCAGACTTACTATTAAGACAGGAGTAAATACTTGTGTCACCAGCATCCAGAGTTGAGAACTCCTGACATCAGGAAAGGCATTGATGAAAACTAGGAACAACATAGGTCCAAGGATAGAGCTGGCAGGGTGGGGTGGGGGGTTCATCTAAATTAATGAAAAAAGATATAGAGTGGCTGTTCAAGACAACTTTCATTTCATGATTTGATAAGAAAGACTGAATTGGATCAAAAATTCATCCAGAAATAGACCTTGTGAAGAAGACCTGTATGCCAAACACTGTCAAATGCCTTCGAGATATCTAAAGCAATAGTCCGAACTTCATCATTCTTATCTAAAGCTTGATAGACTCTTTCAGCAATAATCATTAATAGATCAGTAATTGACCTAGAGAAGTGAAAACCATATTGCTTATCTGAAAGAAAACCTGCAAAGCGAGATACTTAACCATCTAACTTTGCAGAACTTCATTATAAGAGAAAGATTTCATAAATTTCAACTGACAGTAGTACTGGCTGCTTGGCCAATGAATACCAAATGTTTCCTAATGAGAAAATGGTTAATATTACCATTACCATATAATAGCCCTGTTCTGTCAATAAAACTTATACAGATTCCTAACCACTGACAATCCCTTTCTTCCTGATTTTCAAAGCATTCTTATAGCAAAATAATTAACAATACATTTACATTATAAATGAAATATTCTGTCATCAACACTTTGTGAACTGCTTGGCCTCTTTCTTTTTATGGAATTGTCGGACATTATTATTCATTTTCAATTAGTATTTGCTTTCATCTTTTATTAGATTATGAATTATCAGCTGTTATTATTCATTTTTAACATTTTCATTTTTAATTGCTTTTTATCATAATTTTACTCTGGTTGTCAATCTACAGCTTGACAGCAAATACCTGTCAAAAATGAATAATAAAAAAAAAAAAAAAATGAAGATAACATTGCAGTTAGGTAAACTAAAATACATTCTAAAAGAAGCCTAAGAAAACACTATCTAAAGCATTTGTTGGCAAAATCCTGAGGCTTACCTTTTGCTTTACCTGAGGCAGACAAAGATTGCATATGGAAGATTCCGGTAAAACAACGAATAGCTTCCATGTCTTCATCATCCAAATCATCTTCATCGCTGCCAAAAATTCCAGCCTCAGTTTTAGGGGCTTTCTTGACAGTATTCCCTACAGCTCCCGTAAAGGGACGGATGTTGTAGGTGTACTTTTCACGGAGTTCACCCAGTTGAGGAAATGGGAAAGGAGAAATCGAGTAGATAGACTAAAAGAAGAAAAATAAAACATTTTTTGTGTCAGAATTCATGAGATAAGGAATTATTGTCATTTTCTTCATCTGTTTTTATAGTTGTAATGTTTTGACAGTTGTGCTATCTGGAAATCTATAATATTGGATAACACAAATAAATACGAGTTATCTCCCCTAATGCTTATAGACTCAAAATGTATATAAATGTTTACAGACTCAAATATAAATGACCATACTTGCCTCCAGTGGCATAGCATAGGTGGGGCCAGAAAGGTGATTGCCCTGGTTGCTAAATTTTGTATCAATTTTGAGAAAATACATATGAAACTCGAAATTATAACAGCTCATGTCTAAGGAGGAGGCAAAATAGTACAAATTACTCTGGGATGCTTGCTTCTCCCTGAAACAACAATACTGTTGGCAGGGCCTAGAATACACTGACTGCACCCCTGAAGAAGATTAAGACCCTATCAAAAGAGGGTCCCCTACCAAATGTTTATGGACTTAAATGTAGCCAATATTTACTAATCCCTGAACCAAGTAAGTACCTGTGGATTACAATTGTAGGGAGATCACAGTTGTTTCTCTTGGGTTGAGCTCATGGGAGTTTTAACCCCTTTTAGAGAGTAGAACTGTTCTCCCCTTTTTGTCTTTACTTCCGTTCTGGGAGGAATGGGCTCTTTACCTTCCTGACCACCAGGGTGTCCACACACGTGGAAACTGGTCAACATGTGCACGGCCTAGCGAAAGAAAAACGTACTTTCTATTCACTTATCTGCAGACGACCAAAGGCCATAAAGTTGGTATGTTATTTCTTTGTTCTCGTTCTGTAAACCTCCCTGTTCCTTTGGGACAATATGGACAATCATGTGTTTTGGGACATATGTAAATCTTTTTAATATATGTACGTAAGTTGTTTGCCATATTAAATGTTTTGTTTGTTACGCATATTTCGTCTTTTTATATTCCTATTCAGTGTTAGTGTATCAATGGCTACACTAATGCTAATATTAGTATTTTTAACTGAAAATTATAAAAGATAAAAAAACTATTGAGTGGATACCAACTTAAAATTTAAATGACTTATAATTTACAGATAAAAATAAAAACTACACGACATTTAAAACAAATATCAAATTAAAATTTGTAACGTTTCAGCTTTTAAACATGTATAGTTATTAAGTTATTAGAAATTTGATACGCTTCAAGATGAGCATTTAAAATGTTAAATATATACTTTGTGTCTAAGACATATGCATGCCAGGTATAAATAAAAGGACAATGTATCAAGTAGTAACTTGGTGTGATAGTAGGAGTACCAATCAGATGTAACAGATCAAGTTGATGTAGTAAAAGGAGGAATTAAGAAATTTCCCTGCATCTATTATCTGTCATTTTTTTTCTTGAATATAAGGCTGAAGAATCACTCAAAACAGAGGATTACTAAATGAAGTTGTTGTATGGATGTAGGAAGGTGAGGAGGGAAGTAAACCAGTCTTCAGAAGAAGAAACTACATTTAAAAAAGTTTGTAAAATACATCAACTAATTCTGGATTATAAAATTTTGCATTTTATCTGCTTTCTTCTTTGTGGACGAGTTGGATATTTTTTACAAGGCCAAATTTTCACTTTCTCTACCTTTCACAAACCTAACAGGGGTTGACATGCCATAAAAATCAACCCTTTCCTCACCCAACATGTCAAGATGACTGAGCCCAACCCAACACATCAAGATATATGACTGATTTAGAAAGGAAAAGTAGGTTTGTGCTTTTCCCAAAAGTAGTTTCTGCCAAAATTTAAACTCAGCATGCTAACAGTTTCTCATTACAAATTGCTTTTTTGCTGTTATTATGCAAAGTTAAAACGTTTTCTATTTACAAACCTTGATCAGCTTTTCTGGACTAAAAGCATCTCCATTGACCATATCCTGGGTGAGTTCACCCATTAGAGTGTAAAATTCATCAGCACTTCCAGCAGACATTATTCTCCTGCAAGACAACACGGAGATTAAATTCATACTTTATTAATGAGCCTAACAAACGCAACCAAAATTAACTCCCAAAATCACTGGCTTATTTTGCACTTTTTGATATATATTTAATAGATAATTAAGCATACAAGGATGGAAATTCACAATACAATTATCACAGCAACTTTGTCTGAAAATTGTATTTAGTTGTGGAACTGACAGTCACCATGTAATGTTGATTTCTATGACTACATGGTTTATTTCTATCCATCTCGATACAGGGTGCGATGGATAAATTGTCATCTAAATTATGCAAAAATGCAAACAACACTGACTTCTCATTTTAATAGACATTTACCAAAATGACAAAAATATCTTGGAATACTAAAGATTAAATTTATTCAATAAAATTGCCACAGGCTTCAACCATGGCCTCCAGACAACTTCGGAATCTCCTGCAACTCTTCTGGATGATCTCCTTGTTTAAGTTGTTGAATGCTGCCATAATCCTTGCCTTCATTTTTTTTTTTTTAAATCATTTCACCCCAAGCAAGGTGGGAACGCCACTAGACTAGTATGCCAGGGGTTACAGAGTGAAGGTGAGAGAAAATACTAGGTATCGGTGGGGGGGTGTTTGAGGAAAGGATAAATGATGAACGGGATTCAAGAAGACAGAAGATGGCAATTAGCATTGCATTTAAATTTTTGAAGATTATAGTATTCAGGGAAGCAAGTAAACAGAAGAGTTCCACAGGTGGGAAGTGCAAGAAAAGAAACTGTTGGAGTAGAATTGGTGGTTACATTTAGCTATTTTAACAGTAAAAGGGCGGAAGCTTAAATTCATGTAGTTAAGGCACATGGTGTGACATGGAGTTTTGTTGGTCTCTCACTCAACTGTGCCCCACAAATAATAATCAAGGAGTTTGCAATCTGGGGAGTTAGGTATCCAGAAGTAAGGGGTGATGTGGTCGCAGAAATCATCTGACAGTCATGACTGGTCCTGTTGCCAGACATAGGGTCTTCCAGCAGCCATCCTCTTGACCCAAGGTAGCACTACCTCTCTGGCTATGGACCTGACTGACTTGGAGGGATAGTTTTCAATCATGGCTTGGATCTCACCAACAAATTGAGGAGTTCTTTTCTTATCAGAATGATTTCTGAACTGCTGTACCTTCATAATCCCCATTAGACTCATCCAACTCTTTCCGAATCCTTTGCACTGTCCTCAGATTGACACCCAAACACTCTCACATGGTTCATATTGGAGCTTCCAGTGTGAATGCCAAGCAGTACAGCATGCTGTCTCCAAATTTCTGGCAGAGTGAATTGTTTCATGGTGCTCTTTTTCTCACAGACAGTACCCAACTGACTCTACTGTATTGTGCAGTCAACAAAATCAAAAATAAATGTGTATGTGCAAAATTAAAAATATAAAATGGTGACAATTTACCCATCGCACAATACATTTAGTTAATAGTAAATATAAAAATCATCCTTGATAATAGCTAAAAAAATAGCCGAAAGCACTCAGACATACAGAACATTTGGACAATTTCTACGTAATTTATGTCCAGAAAGGAAGAAAATTATAAGAACACAAGAAAAATTAAATAAAACTTAACTGCAGTAGCTTGTCAGTCATTTTGAATGAAACTTGTTTGTTTGCATATATATATATATATATATATATATATATATATATATATATATAAAACACATGATGGGTGTGCTGAAAAGTTTTCAGCTTGACCCACTTCCTAAAAACCTGTTTGAATGACCATAATTATTTTAATAAAGCTTCTTTTACTTTTCAGCAACTTTGTGTGTATATATATATATATATATATATATATATATATATATATATAATATAAAACAATGCAGCTTTTGAAATACAATTTTGAGTGACTTGAAAACAAAAAAGTGTTTTGACAAAAATCTTGGTACTTACTTAGCCAGCTTACCCCAAATGACCAGTGCTGCCCGCAGCAAGATCTCCGAACCCTCAAGCAAAATTGAATCCCACATTCTTAAAACCGTTTTCTTTGGAAGACATGTTGCAAACAAAGTCAGGAACCACTGCATTGTGAACACATTAGTCAGAGGTGGCTCATAAATGGTTCCTGGAGAGTGGAAAAAAAAAAATATATATACACATGTCACTTTAGGATTCATTTTTCCCTAATATCTCTATCATAATTTCATTGGCTTTTTATTGTAACTCTCAAAATGTCATTCTCTGGCCATTAGTATACAGTAAAAGCTCAGTTACATACATTCCCCCTTTTGTTTATGTTAATCTTTGGTAAGGTTGAATTTCAAGTGAGGATTTTATTTTTTAAGGCAGGCCATGAACTGGGGCAACATAATCTCAATTTCCATTCTATCCTAGCTTAATAATCTATAAATTATATAGTTTAAAGATTTAAAATCTGAAAATACTCCATAATTACAATGACAAATTTTCCCTTTGAGAAATCTATATATGCCTAGTCAATTTTATAATTTTTTTTTTTTTTATCTCTAACATTTGTAACTTTTTGCTGTACTTTAGTTATCTCACATCCAATGGCAATGCCAGTGTCTTTGTTATGACAATGGTAAACTATTCTAAGATGTTAATGGTAGTGGAAAGTGAAAAAAAACAATTCCATGAAAATGTAGAGAACAACAACAATAATGATTGGAAAATAAGCATTTAAAGACTTGCACATGAAAAACTTCTCAAATAGTAAGGTCTTAACAAAATAGGACATCTTTTTTGATGGCATGAGTAAACTTATTCATATGACATTTTAATAGGACATAAAGTAAGGGATCAGTTTAACATTGTAATTAAGTAATGAACTGATTCCTCAATAAATACTACATATTATAAAATTGGAAAACTATATTTAACACTTGTGTCTAATAATGGTAAAAACTTAAAATATGGCATCTTTTTCTGATGGCAACAGTTGACTTGTCTAAGATTCTAGTGAATATAATTCCAGAATTACATGAATAAAATAATTGGGAAAAGCACATTTAAAAGCTTATAATAACAACAATAATATGTGCCACATGAGAATATCAATAATTCCATTTGTAGTTGGAGCCTTTGGATTGCTTGCTTGTTTATTTTACAGCATATCAACCTCAATGGGCTATTTAATACTGACAAAATTTTTACAATAGACTTGTATGACTAGAATATATATTCTTTGTAAGGAAACTTTGCAGATCTGGTTTCATTGATATACTTTTGTAAATAGGGTTGTTGTCAAGTGTCTGCTTTCATTGATGGATTCTTTTCAGATTTTGACATTCTCATTTGGTTTATAATTTTTGGTAGAGTCCTACTGTTTGAGAAATGATATTATATCTGCTTTTACTTTCTTGAACAGCTCATACATATTGTTTATTTAATAATATTTTTGTCTTGGAAGAGAGCAAGATCTGAGCACTCAGTTAATATATGTTTAATAGTATATGCTATTTTACATGCTTGGTATACTGGCTGATATTCTTTCATTAGTAAGTATAAGTGGGGTTATTCTTGTATGGCCAATGCATACACAGGCCAGTACCACTTTTTCCTTATGAGATTTTCTGGGAGCTGACTTCCATTCTCCTAATTTAAGCGGAATTGCAAAGAGTTTATTGTGTGGGTTATTGTCCCAGTACCGTTGTCATTCCTTTTGAATGTATTTATTAATAACCTCTTTAAAATCTGTATATGGGATTTTGGCCCTTGTATCCACATTCACATCTAAAGCCAATTTGGCTGCTGGTTCTGTTTCATTATTACCTTTAAATTCAATGTGGCTATGAATCCAACATAGTTTGATGTCTTTATGATTGTTAATAGTGCTCATTTTGTATAATATTTTCATAATAAATGGGCTGTTGGACTTTTCCTTCAAAACCAATAAGATGGATAGTAAGCCTGAAAAATTAGAAAATTTTTTCTGTTTGCTCGAGATAATGTTGAGAGCTAGCTCGATCAGATAAAGACTCTGCAGTGAAAATAGAGCTTCCCTTTGGGAGGCACCTTTTGTTTTGGTAATATTTTGGTTTCACTGCTGCACATCCTATCTTGTCTTCACATTTTGACCAGTCTGTATAGATGGGTGGCTTGATAGTCAATGGTGAAATACTGGCTGCAGTCATTTCTTGTATATTTGAGAGTGTGGTGCCTAATTATTCAGCAATGGATTTCATCCAAGTCTGTAGGGTTGTATAGCATTATCTTTTTGTCAGAATAGATCACAGCAATTCTGGTCAAAGCTGGGTTAGTAGGGCATGATTTTATTTTTACATACTACCATAGAGGCCAGTTTAGTGTGCTGTAAATGTGGAGGATGGATGGATGTTGGATTTAACGGCATGTCAACTATTTAAATGTGGAGGTGTTTCATTCACTTCTATATATTTCTTCATTGGGGTACGACTTTCTGGTTGCCCCATATATGAAACTTGTGTAATCCAGTTTGGAGTGAAGTAATGATTTGTATAATTTGATCAATATTAGTTGATCTGATCCCCATTCAGTAAGGACCACTACATGCAGGAGTTTTAGGGATTTGCTACATTTTGTTTTCAAATATTTTAGATGGCGAATGAATGTTAATTTTTTATTAAAGATAATGCCTATAAACTTGTGTTGTTCCACTACTGGGATTTCTGCTTCATTTACTTTTAAACACGGATCATTGTGTAATTTTCTTAATTTGCAGAAATGTAGGCATTTAGTTTTCATTTTGGAAAAAGTAAATCCATTTTCAGTGGCCCATTTGTGTATTTTTATTGAGATGTTTTTGGACTTTCACTAGTATTCATATGTTGAGATCTGTACATAATTAGAAAAATGAACTTAATTTTTATGCAAAATGGTGTCACCAAAAGAATGCTTCCTTGTGGAACTCCTTTTTCTTGATCTTGTTGTTTCAATAATATAGTTCCTATATGAACTTGAAGCCTCTGATCTTTCAGGAAATTCCCTATGAATTGAATCCTTTTAGACCCAGATCATACAGATCTTTCAAGATACCAAATTTTCATGTTGTATCATTTGGCTTTTCTAAGTCAAAAAATATTGTCAGGTTAGTGAAGGCTTTCTTTACAAAGGTTTCAATGGTATTTCTTTTTCTCCTAAAAGCTCATTGGTAGTCACTGATTAAGCCATAAATTTCCAGTTACCAAGTCAACCTGTTATTGACCATTCTCTCCATAGTTTTACCTAGGCAGCTCGTTAGTGCTATCAGCCTGAAGCTTTCAGGGCCTGTGTCATCCTTTCCAGGTTTTAGAATTAAGATGATGAATGACTGTCTCCACATATCTGGAAAGTTGCCATTTGTTCATATGTTGTTATACAAATTTAGTAACATTTGTAATGATTTGTTGGGCAACTGTTTTATGAAGTGATATCATCTGATTCCACAGTTATGTTGTGGGCTTTCTTTAAAGATTCATTTAGTTCCTCTATAGTGAATGGTAGGTATAGCTCTCAGCATGATTTGATTTAAAGTTTAATTTTTGTTTTTCCGCTTTTTGTTTGAGCTTCAGAATTTGTTGGTTACCATTCTTGGCAGATGAGTTTTTGGATATTGTTTTGGCTAACTGATCAGTGATATCCTTTTTTTCTGGTTATTTTGCAGTTATTTATCGAGAGATGTTTTATAGCATTAGAATGATATTTATCAGCTATTTTCCTTATATCCCATATAGATTTTGTTTTTGTGGCAGAATTAAGTCTGCTGATGTAATTTTTTTCAACATTCATTTTTGCTTTTTTTAAAAATTATTTTTCTGTGCTTTTGCTCAAAGTTGCTTAAGTCATAGCAAATTAGAGCTTGAAGGCTGTTTGTTGAAATCTCTCAAAAGGTCTTCTTCTGAGCCTGATAGCTTCCTGAAACTCATCAGTTCTATTACATCTTTTTTGTACTGGACTTTTTAGAATGCATTCCTTGGCTATAAATATAAGGGTTTCCATAAACTGTTCCAAGTGCTTGATGCAGTTACCTTCAGTTAGTTTATCAGAACATTGGTTTTTAAATTCATCCCAGTTTGCTTCACCTAATTTCCAACAGAGAGGATTTTTATTATTATGTTCTGAATTTTTCAGAACAATTGTTAAGTGATCACTACCGCTCGTGTCCACAAGAACTTTGAGAGAAATCTGTATAGATTAATGGATCACATACAGATAAATCTATTGCAGAGTAGCTGCCAGTAAATGGATTTATGTTGGTCAGTTTTTTATCATTCTAAATACATAAATCATTGTTGTTTATAATAGTTTCTAAAGTCCTTACCTTGGTTTGTGTCTTTACAGCCTCCCATATAGTGCCATGACAGTTAAAGTCCCCTAGTATCATAAAGGGTGCAGGGAGTTGTCTTATAATTTCCTTTAATTTCAATTTCATTTACTCATTCATTAGGTGGGATATATTCTGAGTAAATGTTTATTGGCCTATGTAGGATCACGTTAACAGTAGTTATCAAATTTATTTTACTTTGGGGTACATCATTCCTAACTAGGATAGATATACCACCAGATGCACAAAGCCCAGTGTCATGTGTATGGTTGTATTGCTGGTATTTTTTTATATTCATTTTGTCACCTTGCTTAAAGAATGTTTCCTGAAGGCAAACAATTGCTGGTGACAGGTCTGTTGTTAACAGAAGCAGTTCATTTATATTTGCCTTTATTCCACAGCAGTTCCATTCAATTATCTTATCAATTATCTTGACTGTTTAAACATTTTCAGCCTTTAGTTTATGTGGCTTTGATTTCTTTTTCCTAGGTTTTCATTTTGGAGGTTTTAGCCATTTGAGGGTTCTGGCTTTCCATCTCCATCTTTTCTAGCTCATCAAATTGTTTTTGCATTGGAATTTGGTCATTGTGAATTTCCAGGTTTTGTCTGGTTGATTCTGTTCTTTGGGGAGATAAGATTTTCAGTCTATCTTTCCTGGGTTTGGTGGACAGATAGAAGATCATTGCGACCTTTGTAGAAGATTTGGTATTTTTGGTAGGAGTGGTTTGCGGTTGTGCTGTCTTTTTGCCATATGTTTTCTCCTTATTATTTCTGTTCTTTCATTGCCCTTTTGCAGTTCAGCCTGCACCATTTCCTTGGAATATAGACTTTTTAGGTAAGTTTGAAATCTGGGCCAATCATTTGGTCTTAAGTGTACAAGCTTCTCAATGAGGTCTCTGTATTTGTTAGGTTGACTGGCATTATCTGTAGTCTTATTTTTCATTATTTTTGCATAGGAATGGCCTTTCATGTAACCCATCACTTGGCTTGCTTCTGAAAAAGAGATTATTCTTTTATATTTTACTTCAACAATTTCCCTTTCCTAGAAATCACACATTATGTTAGATGGCTTTCATGGCAGTTAACACATCTTATTTCATTGTGTCATTCTTCTTCAGAATGGTCTGAATCCCGTTTGCCACATTTTCCACATGTTGGTCGACTCCTGCAGCTATCCCCATAATATCCAAATTTTTGGCACCTGCAGCATCTTAGTGGAGCAGAGATATATATAGTTCCACTGGCTCAATATTATACCCTATTTTTATTTGGTGCAGGGGTTTTCAGGTGTGCCAAAAGTAAGGATATATGTGTCAAGTTATAATTGTTTCCCCTTTTTCTTTTAATTGAAATTCTCTGGAAATTGCTGACGCCTTGGATTCCTAAGGCAGATTTAATTTCCTCAGGTGTGACCATAGATAACTCTTTAATTCTAATAAGTCCCTTAGACGTATTCAGCCTTGCATGAGGGAAGGTTTTAATTTTGATATTATGAAAGGTCTTCATCTTTATTATATTTTATGCGTGTTTTCTATGTTCCACCTCAACCGGCAAATAGCCATGTCTCAACTTTCTAATAGTTTTAGGGGTAGTACTATTGAATAGTACCTTTTTAATAAAGAAAGGAGAAAATTTTGCCAGTGGAGTTTTTTCTAAGGATGTGAACACAAAAAGATCTTGTAAATTCTGTATTAATTTCTTTTTCAGAATCATAGTCTAAAAGACGTCTTTTTGGGGATTTTATAATTTTTGTGTATTAAGATTCAGTGCCTGTGCTCCCCACCCACCTCAGAGCCCAACATTGGGGCATATCAAGGGGGGAAACCTAGTCGCCATGATAGGTCAGGGTTACACAAACCAGTATACTTGTATCCAAGAGAGACTTTGTTGCACTTCCCAAATAAGTGTACAAACTGGCATGTTCACAACTATGTCTAAGTCTAGATCTCTTCAAACCAATTGACTTTCAGTCATTGCTTACTAACACCTATAAATTGAATAGAGATGGTATTTTATCCTGTTGTATATGAGTATTGTATTTAGTTATAAAGTACTACATAAATTGATATAGTTATAGGCACTAGGGCTTGTCATGACCAACCGATTGATTGGATCGGGCCTCTCCAGCTGCCTGTCTAGTCTGAGTAAGGGCCAAAGTGGTGTGTTGGGAATCAGAAGTAATTAACCCTAACTCTTGAATCCCTCAACCACCAGGATCCCTTCCCCCCAAATTACGGGTTGCCACCCACAGCAAACAGGTGGCCTTATTGTGTGTGTGTGTGTGGGGGGGGGGAAGGTGTATTACCCCTCTGCAGAGGTGCAATTGGTGTATTATGAAGCCCCATCTGACAGGGTGGACAGATTGCTTGGAAAAAAATTCAAATAGACTCATTGAAGAAATTTCTCGTAGCTCATGCCTTAAAGAAATAGAAAAAAATATACTTACAAGCACAACTCACATATTATGAAGAGCTTTATCTATGTAAAATGTGTGTGATCTTAGTTATTTTTCATTTTTATTTTTTCTACAAAAATAATCAGTGGAAAATGTTATGAAGACATTTCTGACCTTAGGTCTCTGGTTGGGACCCAGAAGGAAATGTGCACACAACAGAAATCAAAGGAAGAAATAATAATAATAGTAAGAACTTAAAAAAAAAAGCTCTATTTTTTGATTACATGCATAAACCTCATCGATTAATAAATTTTTTAAAAAGAGTAAAAATCAAATTATGTAAATTAATTATTCATGAATTACAAAGAAAATAAATCTTGAAGAATAAATAATAAATTCTATTCATTTATCTGAAGTTTTTATGAATGCAACTCAAATTTCTTCCTCAAAATTTCTTTCTCTCTTGTCATTAAAAAGTGAGGGACAAATGGATATTTTACAAGAATATAAATTCATACAGACAATGGTTTTGTGGAGGCAAACAGGTTAAAGCACAAATAAAAAATCAATTGTCATCCAAGGAAAGTTTGGCTAAGTGTTTGGTAGGATTTTGTTGGTGTGGTCCAATTCGAGTTGCTATCAGTCAATGTTATGATTACGCCAGGCTTACCGGCGACACTATTAAAACATGGTTTTGAAGAGGTCCAGCTTGATCAATTAGAAAAGGTCTGGTGTTCCATCCTTTAAGTTCATCAAGGAGAAATAGCATCTCTGACAGGAAAACAGTCATACTTCTTTGGGAGTAGTTTCATCTGCATTAGTTCCCACCTGGCACCTCTCTGTACCTCCAACTCGTTTGCATGCATCAGCGGACATGCACTGGTAAATTACTTCAATTGGTGTGCAAACTAAGTGAGGGCAGTTGACAGATTGAAAGCCCAAATGTATGTCAAGACTGATTCCCAACAGGCTTACAGCCACATCATGTTAAAACAACAGTCCTTATACAATCACCGAAGTTAAGCAACATTGAGTCTGGTCAGTAACTAGATGGTTGACTGCTTAGGAATACCAGGTGCTGTAAGCTTGGATGTATGGGTGGTGTAATGGATAATGGTTTGGAATTGTTAATTGGAGAGCAGAGTTCCAATTCCCATTGGGTTCATTATATTCACTTATGTGCAAATATCCTTGTGAAAGGCATGAATCCACCTCTTCTCCCCCGGCCCAGCTATACGTTAATTAATAAAACTTGTATCACTAAAATCATTATTTTCTATATAAAAAAAAAAAATTTCTAGTGCAGTAGGTAGATGAGATCTCCTACATATCCATGCCGTGGAGCAATTCAGGGTATGGATATGACATGTAGAAGTCCTGGTTATCTACTGCAGCCTTGAGTTCTCTGGTTGTAACAATTCCTTGTGTCACTAAATAAAAGACTGAGAGAGAAGGATTATCCCCAGTGATGTTTTTCCCCCATTATAAAATTCTTCCAGTACAGGACCATTTTGAAAATCCATCCTTATTACATCACCGATCTAGTGTTCAATCATGTTAATACACAGACCTTTACAGTAGATCACAACAGTTAAGTAACATCAAGCCTAGCCAGTACCTAGATGGGTAACTGCATGGGAATACCACATGCTATAAGCTTGGTTATAGAGGTGGTGTAATAGATAATGGCTTGGAATTGGAAATCAGAGAGCGGAGTTCCAATTCCAGTCGGGTTTGTTATATTCACTTATGCACAAATACACTTGGGAAAGGAAAGAATCCACCTTTTCTTCCTCTAGCTATGAATTAATCAGTGAGACTTGTGTCAGTAAATCATTATTATCTCCAAAAAAATTATTACAATCTAAAAATATTTTTGGCTTTAAAGAACCTGAAAAAAATTGATGAATTCAGTTGTTGAAAATATCACAGCCTCCATGTTCTCCAGATCTTGTTCCATCTGATTGCCATTTGTTCTGGATTTGTCAGAACCATCTAGAACAAGTTTTTAAAAACACAAGAGGTGGAAATTATTTTACTCAAAATCAAAATGCTTTTACTAAGTTGCTTATGGGATAACCTGATGAGTAAAAAAGAAAAAAATATCAGATTACCAGAAGCCTCTTCTTGAGCCGTTCGCTGCAGATTGTCCAAGTGCCGGGACAAAGGAGGATATTTCCACTGGAGAAGGTCCCGGAATACAGCCATGTCCACAGATAAGGCACGCAGATTGTTGGCAAAGTAACTGTCAGGTAAAACATGATCAATCAGGTAGATCATCACCTGAAAATAAATGGAAATAAATTAAAAAAAAAAAAACATTAACAAAATTACATCTTCCAAGAAAAAACAGCTTTAGAATGCACAATAGACTGGGTAAGAACAAGGTAATTATCTAAAAATACAGGTGTAGGGATACAGAAGGTGATTATGTCCTTTTGGTGGTGATAAGTTATGTGACAGCCTCTTAATGATGTCACTCCATACAGTGACTATAAAAGCAGTCAAATTAAGTTAGTTTACAGCAGCTAAATTGTATGGTTGCTTTCTGTAGTTTGCCACCCACCTTCCTGACCAGGCACGGGCTAAATCTGCCTCCCCTGCAGATTATAAGTCCAGGGCATTATTGCCTTTGGGAATATATCATTTCTAGATGTAGAAAGAAACTCCAGCTTTCAGTCCTCAATTTAGGAAAACCCATGACTTGCTGTTTCCTGCTGATGGAATATGTTCTTGCCTGGGACATAGATAAATCCAGCTCATTTGAATTTGAGTCCTAAAAATGGCTTCTCCAGCCACAGGAGTATCTCCATATTATATGTATGACCCTTCCTTTTGTTTTTTCTTACACTTTGCTTTCCTGTGTAGATATATGTGATATATTATTCACAGTGTGGGACATGTGCATATATATATATATATATATATATATATATATATATATATATATATTATTTTGTTACGCTAGCCCAATAGTTGTACCCTCACCTCAGATTTTATAAGCATGTTTTAAGTACATTGTGTATTTGCAATGAAACATATGAATCTTAATAACTTCTTTATTTCTTGAATATGCAGATTGTGGGATATATTTTTTTTTATGCCCAGATGAATCAGGGCCAGTTCTCGGAAAACCTTCCCTTCCTCCCACCATTTCCTATCTGGTCTCTGATGCGTAGGCCAAACAAACGCTGTTTGACAGATAAGTGCGAATGACATTAACAGGATCCATGGTCGTAGGCCAAACAAATGCTGTTTGACAGATAAGTGCGAATGACATTAACAGGGTCCGTGAATGCCGCATACTTTTTTTGTGCATCAACACATGACTCAACTCGTAGCAGTTTCGTTTCGCACGTGTTGAGGTGACAATGATCTCACTTAGTTGCTGGCTCTCAGAGGAAGTGGACGTCACCAAAACCAGTCTTAGCTGTTTGCTGTTAGAAGCAGCAGTTGTCACCAAAACCAGACTTTGTTGTTTGATGCCAGAAGAATTAGATGCCACCAAAAACCAAAGGACTGCCGAGAGAATCTAGAACAACAATCTCAACCCAAGTCAGCTATATTCCCGTGATTTTTCTGTGTGTTCTCCTTGCCATCAACACGGATTGGACATCGCCCATCAAAAACTCATATTAGAACATTGACAACCCCATCCTTTACTTTCAGAGAAGTGTATGAATATCCTTTTGATCAAACTGTACCCTGATAATAATCAATCGACGTCGATTCCAACCTTATGTAAGTTTCTGCATGTTTTTCTATATCTTATAATCTGCTACCTCTGTATTCATATGTATTTCACCACATTAGTATCTGTTTATATTTCTGAGATGAGGTATTATGTACAGTATTTACATTAGTCGGACTATTGTCCTCATCTTTGTCGCCATATTTGTCACAACGTTTCGGCCGTTTTACGCTCAGGCCTTCTTCAGGTGGTTGGAATTTCGAACTGAACCCTTTATTTTGATCACTGGGGTAGACTGTTCTAGTTCCACGTGCCATGTTTGATGGATGTCAGTTATCAGTTATCTCCTGCTAATTTTCCCTCTGAAAGTTCTCCACTGCCTTAACCGGGTTTTGAACTCACACTCTTTGGGTCTGTCACTGGATCTAACCAACGCCTTTATCCACTGTGCCATGTGTCCTTGAGAAATTCCAACCACCTGAAGAAGGCTAGAGCATACAATGGCCGAAACGTTGTGACAAATATGGCGACAAAGATGAGGACAATAGTCCGACTAATGTAAATACTGTAGTATCTGTTTAATTGGTAACTTATCTCCCCATCCCTTGTATTATTTAGTTTTCTTTTTCTTACTTTCACACTTTGTATATTCTATAAATAAAATCTTTGTATTATATATTCTTGTGTAGTCTTCTGTTGTTGTGTCTGCGTATGGTTCATTTTCCCTCTGCGTTTCTTTTCTTTATTTTTATATCGAACATTGGGATCTCTTATTTTTTTTTATTTTCTCATTGCATCCTGGCTATCGTAGTCCCAACGAAACCCTGGGTGTAACAATATATATATATATATATATATATATAGTTTTGTGTATGTGTTAGTGGTATAAAAGTTTTTCTGAGAACCAAGTATGTTTGTCATTTCTTCTTTCAGCCATTTTTTTTCTGTCCATGAAGTACGAGGTTATTATATCACGGATATAATAATGCCCATAATAGGTGAAATACAAGTGGGAGAATAAATCTTTCTTCCATATCTCTCTCTCTCTCTGTTACACAGGCTTTATTTACAACATGGAGTCTGCTAATTGATGAAAATTGTGGTTATATGGTTAAAGGGCAACAACTGTTTTTTAGGCTCTATTTTAATAGTGATACATTACAGGCTTTACCCTTATCTTCAATGCAAATACTAGATGCTGTAAACTTGGATGCGCAGGTGGTGTATGGATAATGGCTCAAAATTGTTAATTGGAGAGCTGAGTTCAAATTCCTGTTGGGTTTGTTATATTCACTTGGGAAAGGTATGAATCCATCTCTTCTCCTCCAGTTATGGGTTAATTAGTAAGGCTTGTATCACTAAAGCATTATTATATAAAAAAAATTTTTTTTAAAATTACAATATTTTCTGATTTTAGATAATTTGCTAAGGGTTGTTATGCTATAGAAAACAAATCAATCAATAATACTTCAATGGATGAAATAGCTAAATATAAATGCAATATTTTCTCTGTAGAGACTAATACAAACATGAGACTAAGTCTTTCAGACATAATATTAGGTTCTTCAGAAATTAATGTCAGATTTTAAAATCAACTTTTATTCTTGGATTAATGTATTTAAACAGTATTTAAATCATTCACAAACATCTATGCATTTCTGTCACTGAGTTACATGTTTATTCATATTTTTATGATAAAACTCTAAAGGTTTGAATGCAGTTTCTGCATCTTTGTTGCAATGGAATGTCTTTTGGCTTAAAAAGTTGTCAAGTTGCTGGAAAAAGTGGTAGTCGATGGGCAAGAGATCAGGGGATATGGTGGATGTGGCAAAGTCTTGTATCCCAGGTCAGTGATCTTCTGCAGTGGCATCCTGGCAACAGGAGGCCGAGCATTGTCATGAAGCCATATTTGACCTCGTCCGTTAACCAGTGTTGGTTGCATTTTGCTTAATTGAATGTGCATTTCATTCAGATCCTGGTAGTAAATTTCAGCAGTTATTCTCTGATTAGATTCCAGAAAGCTGTAATGGATAACACCAAAGACAGATCATCAGACATTCACTATAATTTTCTGTTGGTACAATTTCAGTTTTGGAAAGTGTTTGGATCCTTCATCATGATTAAGTCATTGAGCCAATTATTTATGATCATCATAAAGGATGCATTTCTCATCACAAGTCACTATTCGATCAAGAAAGGGATCATTTGAATTTTCACTGAATTCTCTTGGAATCCATTTATCAACTTTCTTCACTTTGTCAATTTTCTTGAGATGGTCTGATAGTGTTGAAATTATTTTGTGGTAACAAGGATTATTAAGAAAACAAATTTTACTTTCTATTTGAAATCAAACTTAATATCTATTCATATCATTTTAATGCCATTAATATTTCTGTAACTTGTTAATACTTAACATTTTATTTTATTTTTAAAAAAAGATACTGTTTTCTGCAACAGAATATCTTTAGTCCCTCACTCCACACTTCAGCATTAATATCTTTAGATTTGATTTATTCATATTATATGGAATTAGTTTGAATTTAAAGGTCAGACCACTTTCCAAGAGAGAAGAGGTTTGAATCAGCTATCATTCACTCGGTCATACTTGAGTATGAATGATATGCTGGGGATGGGGAATTTGTACTTACCTTAAGTGCTTGATCCTCACAACGGTCAAAAACATCCAGCAACAATGCAGCTATGACATTGAAACCTTGACAGTAGCCAACATGTTTGTTCCATCGGGCATAGGCCAATAAGACTCTCTTCAGGACTGCCCGGTCCTCCTCATTGTCCCTCCCACTGAAGCTACTACATCCAGTACGATGCAAATCCTGTGGGGAGGAAAAAAAAGAAAAAAGTCAAAATTTTGTAAAAAAAAAACAAATATTGTTTAAAAGATTGTAATCTTTATAGCTTTTTATATGACAATATAAGAAACTGTGTAAGTATATATCACAAATGCTGTGGAAGATTTTTCCAGTTTGCCTTTATCAGCCCAAAGTTCATCAAGTTTAATTACTTTTGAAGGTCTCATCATTATGAAGAAGGTTCAACTTATCAGAGACAATTTTTTTTTTTTTTACTTTCATCCTGACATCTTTAGAAATGATGCATTTTTATTACACATGCGTTATATAGAAGAGACGTCATGTAGGATGATTTGTAAAAAAAATTATTTCATTATAGGTCACAAAAGTTCACAGAACCCAAGGACAAGAATATTATTAAATTTTGAGAAGACATTTTAAAATGCCACCCCAACAGATGATGTTTCTTTAAATGTTGCAAACAAAAAAAAAAAAAAAAAATTAAACTTTGTTGGGGAATTTTAATAAAACTTGCACATGTTCATAGAAAAATTTCTCTAAAATAAAAAATGTTTTTTTTCCTATTTTAAGGAAATGCTTCTTTTTTTTTTTTTTTTGGCAGTGGGGAATAAGAAATTTCAGACTTGAAATTTGTACCTTTTCTTGAATGAATTGTATTTGATGATAGAAACAAAAAACAAAAAAACTGACTGCTTTCAAATTTGATTTCTTTAGGATTTCATCTTGGGTCAGACAATACTTTTCAAATGCACTGAGAATTAAACGATTAATTCCAATTGAAGGATTTTAATTGGCAGTGAATTATTTTTACCTTGACAATCTGAAGTCCTAATTTATTGTCATCAGGATTGCAACGATCATTAAAGGCAAACCGCACAGTTTTCTCCCAATCGACATGAATTTCATGAATGTAATTGTCAGACAGACTAAGCCAAACCTAAAAAGGAAAAAAAAGAAAATAAATAAATAAAATCAAAGATATTTTTTAGAGGAATACAAGTTAATGCAATAAAAACAGGAAAAATTCTTTTATTTCCAATTTTCCCCCTTTTCAAGAAAGAAAGATAAAGGAGAAAATAATGGGGGAAAAAAGAAAAGGAAAAAAGAAGCAAAAAAGAAAAAAGAAGGAAAAGAAAAAGGAAAAGAAGAAAAAAGGAAAAGACATAAAAAAAGGAAGAAAAGTAGAAAAAAAAGAACACAAGATTAACAAGCACAATTATTAAATATTCCTCGACCAAAGATTTTCAGGAATAGCAGAAAAATTTTAAGAAATATTTTGAAATTTGTGTTCAATATTTTTAATTTTTCATATAATGAACTCTTTGGAGAAGAATTAAATTTTTTTTTATTTTTTTTTTTTTTGTGTCTTAAACAAAATATTTCTTTGAAAAAATTCATGGCTATTTGAGTGTGGTCTAGGCTGAAAATTCAATGAAATATATTAAACAAATTAAAGAATACTGTTGCAGAATGGTTAACCAGCTAATCTAAACTTCTGTTTACTATTGAGTACCAAGTTCGACTATCACTACATAACTCATGAATGTAACCATGTGAAACCCAAGTCAATCCATACAACCTACAAGAATTTTTATAATAATGTCACATTCTTCCAAAACGGCGACTGCTTTTGGGGTCATGATGGGAGGGATACTAACCAATGGCCCCCTATAATACCCAACAAACCCATTGAAGGCTACCATCACAAACCAGGTGTGTCTAACATGAAGGGCAACAACATCTCTGATCCAGTCACACTTCCAAAACTGCATTGAGGTCGTCTTTAAGGCTGAAGGCAGTTTTATTGAGTAACCTTCTTGCTTTCTAATTTGGACATTTTTTTGGTTTTACTGGGTACTTTACAGCGTTTTTTAAGGCCATAGAAGAATTACTTGGTGTCTGGCTACAATTTTTTTGTTTCTTTTGAATTAAAAAAAAAATTATTTGTCAAGCAAAGAGTTATCTGGGAAAAAAAAAAAAAAAAAAAAAAATCAATCACTGAAGTAAGCCTGTCTAATTTGTTGATCTTACCTTCTTCCTAAATTCTTCAGGAATACCCAGAGGCAGACGGGCCACGCCTTTCATAGCATCCACCCACTGGATATAGGCATTCTCCCCAGTGGAAGGAGGTTCAATGCTAAACTTGATTCGGGTGTCCACACCTAAAAACAATAAAATCAAAATGAGTGATTTATTAGCAAAGTTATCTGGCATCACCAGAGTTAAAAGAATTCTTAAAAGTCATCATCAATTTTTTTGGATTTTTTTTATAACAAATGTTAGACATATCCAACTCTCTCTGACTTCTGTGGAGCTTCACCACGCTAACTGTTGCTGGTGTAGATTCCACAGCAAGTAGGTTATTACATGTGGGAGTTGCCACTCTCATGCCTAATTGGTTTTGAATTCAGAGGTAACCTTCCCTTTGACTGATTACTAAACAAAGCTAGAGAGTACAGTCTACCCAACTATTTAACTCATAGCTGGGGGTATTTGAAATATACAGCAATAATGAAATAAAAATAAAATTAAATATATAAAAAGAAAGAAGAGTAGATCTTGAATGGTTTGTTTTCTAAACAGTTGTTAATTATTGTTTTTTTTTAATTTTTCTTTTACTGAAATAAAAAACCATTTATTGATAATTTGAAAATAAAGAGATATATGGGTGTGGGTTAAAGCATTGGTTACAACATCAAAATCCTTGACAATTGTGAATTTGATCCCTGGGTCAGGTAGTCCTGAAAAAAAGTCACACTGAACCACCATGACAAAAGTGTTAAAAATTGTTTTTTACAGTTTATCAACCCTTATTTAAAGCCAAAACATAATCTGGATTGTAAAAATAGTTTTTTTTCTCTTTTTGCAAAGGAATATTGCATAAACAATTTTTTGGAGAGAATGATTTTTCCAGATACAAGTCTCACTATTTAACCCATAGCTGGAGGTAGAAGGGATATATGTAACTACCCTTGGGAAAGGTATAAGTCTAAGTGAATGTAATGAATTTGACTGAAATCTGAACACTGCTCTCCAATTTCTTGTTTAGAACTTCTATCCATTGCACTAACTATACATACCCACTAAAAGGGAACAAGACAATGAGTATTAACTGATACAAGGCACTTCAGCATTGTGTAATGGTTAGCAAGCTTGTCTCTCTCAATCAATTACAACTGAATAGTGAGTTTGATCCTCACTGGGTGCCCATGATATTCGGCCTTGTGCCGCATCTAAGCTACACTTAGAAAATCACCACATTATGGGCACCTCGGTGTGGTCTAATGGTTAGCAAGCTTGTCTGGCTAGATCAGTTATGACTGAAAAGTGAGTTTGATCCTTACTAGGTGCCCCATACTTTCGGCCTTGTGTCACATCTAAGCTATGCTTAGAAAATAACTGCGGGCTCTCCCCCTGGATTCTTCCAGAGGGATTGGCAGAGGAGGAGAAGGGGTTTTTTCCTGTCAGAGTAGATGCTGCAGTTGTAGTAGGAGGCCTTCTCTCCTTCCTTGTGTTCCCCCCACCATTGCATAACGTCTGTTACGTAACAGTGGTATGACTAGCTCAGCTGCCTGAATGGAAACACTCGTGTTCCCATGTTAATAAAACGACCTTGTGTCCAACTTGATTCTGTGGGGGGTGGGATCTGGTTAAGAAAAAGTCACAATTGCTGTATGCTAACAATAAATATTGAGTATTAACTGATATGAGTTATCTCCCTTAAAACATAGAAAGCCAAATGAGAACAATCCCTGTGGATTGAATAAGTAGTTCGGTTTGAAATTCCAAGAAGGTTACCATGTCTGAAGATGAACACCTGACAAAGGCCAAAGAGTAGAACAGTCAAAATGTTATGGATATAACAGCCAAAAAATATTTTGTATCTGATTAATATATTCATCAGTAATAATAAGATTTGTAAAAGTCAAGCAAATGACTTCAAAGAATAAAAAAAAAATAATTTCATGAGGCTAACGTAAGATTAATGTTTTCATTGCCTGGGTGTGCTGGTCCATTTTAGTAAAAAGAGGAATTGACTATTTACTGGAAATTAATTGCTGAAGGGGATTTCTTATAGACCTTACAGTTTTGGGTTTTGATCAGATAGTCCAGACAAAGCAAAGTGAGACCCCACAAGTACACACCAATCACACATAATAAAAATACTTCATATATTGTTTACAACCATATGTCTACACAAGTTTGGAAATAACACTAAGTGTTAGTTTATAATACAAACACTAGTGACCAAAAAGTTCTGGTGTCTTAAAAACATGATTATATCCACAACGGAACTATTCAAAAAACAGTTCAACTTAAAAAAAAAAAAAAAAAAACCAACCAAAAACTCTCGCAATAAAGAATGAAATTAAGAGTCTGAACAACACTAGTAATGAGAAAGGCCCTTCTTGGAACAACACAGTCTGTGAGGACCTTCTTGGAATGACACCATTTCTGAAGATTGTATTTGATCATCCAATCAAATCATAGAATGACTGGCTTACGGCCACATGTTGAAACACTGGTTCCCATGCAATAACCAAAGTTAAACAACGTTGAGCCTGGTCAGTACCTAGATGGGTGACCATTTGGGAATACTAGGTGCTGTAAGCTTGGATTGTTAAATAGAGAGCAGAGTTTCAATTCCCATTGGTTTTGTTATATTCACTTAGATGCAAGTACCCTTGAGAAAGGTATGATTCCACCTCTTTTCCCCCAGCTATGTGTTAATTCATAAAACTTGTATCACAAAAACTATCATCTAAAAAAAAGAAAAAAAAAAGAAAAGAAAAAAAAGATCATATATTTAGATTTCAGGATTAAATAAACCCATAGAGGTGTTGATATGCCGCTAAAAAAAAAAAAAAAAAAAAAAAAAAAAAAATCAACCAACAGAACTAGAGGCATAATGACTTCTCAAAATTATAGCAATTAAAAATGAAGCAGGGTCAAACTCATAAGAGAATAGATGCTTGACTAATTTAGTGTCTGAGTTTCTCTTAAGACTTATTCTGTTTTGCAGTTGCTTTCGTCTACCATTCACATCATAGACTACCTTCGTAATTTTCAAGTCACAATACACTAATAAACATCTCAATGCAAAATGACCAAAACATTGATGTGTGGTTGGATTAATGATTATCAGTGAGCAGAGTGAAAATGGTGAGCAGAGTTCAAATTCTTCCCTACTTCTGCATTAATGACCTTGGAAAAAAAACAAAAACAAATCTATTCTCATCTAAGCTATGAATAAAATAGTAGGGTAGACTGAACCCACTAGCCTTGGTTAATTTAAAGCTGCTGAGAAGTCAACAGAAAACTACTCAGCTTTCTTTCACAAGATGGCAATTCATAGTTAATAAAAAGGAAAAGGAAGCTTCAGCTTGAAGGGACATGACATCAGAAAATACAGACTATATCAGACATTTAAGTAAGTAATGTTGAATGTATCAAAAGAAAGGAAGATGTGGAGAGACATGATCGCCTACAGCCTAAAAAGACATTGCATTAAAAAAAAAAAAAAAAAAAAAAAAAAAAAAAGGAGGAAATTCAGGTTTCTTCAATTAAAATTTGTTTATCTTTCACTTCTGTCACCAAAAATTAATTGATTAAAATTTACATTTGAGTGACAAAACTTTTACAATTAGCCTTAAGTATTTTAAAAAAAAAAAAACTATCATGAAATAATTTTGGTTGGTTGATTGTTTTTTGTTATCAACCTCTATGGGTTATTTAATGCCAAAATTTAAATATTTTGTACACACTTTTTATTTTTATTTTTTAGAGATATTTTTTTAGTGATACAAATCTTACTAATTTACCCATAGCTGGGAGAAGAAGAAGTGGATTCATAACTTTCCCAAGGGTATTTGTGAAGAAAATTTATTAATGACTTGTTTCACTAGAGCGTATGCTTTCTTTAGCTTCCTCAGGTTAGAATGAAATAAAAACAAAACTGTATGTAAGAGAAAATGCCTTAGGATAATCATATCTTATTATTTCCAATATCCAGAAAAGACAGTATCTGTCTACCTGTTGTTTGTTCATTTGTAGTGTGAGTATTTGTGTGTAAGTTAATATAATGAATCCAACTGCAATTGAAATTTGGCTCTCCGATTAACAATTCCAAGCCATTATCCATTACAACATCTGCTCATCCAAGCTTACAACACTTGGTTTAGTATTCCCAAGTGGCCGCTCACCATGCTTGATGTTGCTTAACTTTGGTGATCGTACAGGAACCTGTTTTTTAGCATGATATGGCTGTAAGATATGAAATAATTTTATTTCAAAGATTATTTAAATTGGTCTTGATTTTAAGATAGCTTCTTTCTCCGAATACACATCAATCAGGGGAGACAACTCTTATCTTATCTAAAATCAATTTGGAAAATGAAAACCGATTTGGCTATATCTCTGTCCTTTTATTTGTTGTTCTCTGCAGTTCACATCTAATTTGCGGACATCTGTGTTCAGATCATTGTTTTGAAGTTATAGGTTCTTATCTCTTCATATGTTCATTGGCAGTAAAACTTGTCAAGTGATGTTTGCAATGCGGCTTTGGGTGGGATTTTTAAAAATCCAAATTACTCCTCATTGTTGACATCTCATCGTCTTGCTCACTGTTTTTGTTTTGTAGACACATCACTTAGTGAAAAATTGCCTACCAGCTGTGTACATCCAACTGTCAAAGATCAACTGGCAAATTTGAACAGATTAGATTCTTGATAAGCGCAGACTTTCTATTCATTTTAATTTCTTTAGGTTTGATATTTATTGAGGTCAGTTGAGTGCTGCAAAAGACAGTGAAATAATTGGTAGCATATATCACCACTGCTGCAAATCAGGCAGTGGTTAATACTATTATGAGCCTAGCATTTGGTTGTAGTAATAAAAGAAAAAGCATAACAAGTGACTGTAACTTTAACTATCTAGCTCCAAATTATAGTTGAAAAAACTTCTGGGTTAATGCTGAAAATGAATTATGAGGAAAAAACAGGTAACAGAAAACACAGCAGGATACCAAGTTGAGATGTTCTTCCCTTTCATGTAATTATATGTTGGTAATAAATTTACTGATGTGTTTTGTATGGTGTATTAAATTGTGATATATGACACCATATATGTTGGTGTACAAGGTGACTGGGTGTAATAAGATGAACCCCCAAAATTTTCATGTTAAAATCTAGGTTTTCAGCTATATTCACTGTACAAGAGACCTCCTCCTACCAAGCAATATTTTAAAATGTACTGAATTTATTAAATAAATTCAGTAAGCATATACTTTCTTTTCATTAAAATTCTATTGAAAAAAGTGCGGAAATATCATCAATTAACTACCAAAATCTACAATACCTCATGAGTGGGTGCTGTGTTCTCAGTAGTCTATTATGATAGCCTGAATGAATTTTCCCCTGCTAACCATCCACTCATTCCAAATAACCACACATTCAAATGTGTTTTTCAACATCAAAAAAAAGGAAAAGAGATGAGTCAGGGGTTAGCCTACCGTCAAAAATCTTCTATGCTAACAACAGGATTTAAGGTTCACATTTTATACCTGGAGTATGAGGCAGCCACCTATATTTGGCGAGGATTTTTTAAGTTTATAAGCTCGCCTTGTACACTGGCATATATGGTAAATGTATTTAGTATTATGATTGTTTGCTTTTTTTTTTTCCTTTTTTTTTTTAGCTTAATTGAATGTCTCAGTCCTGAATTATTTTGAGGATCATACTGCATAACTGGTAATAAGATTTGGAGATTTCTTTCTTGGTTTTGTAGGAGTTACATTTTCACATCTATTGTATTGGGAATCAAAAGTCCTATTGCCTTGTCCAGTGGCTAATGGAACACTAATTCTTTTATCACACAGATTCTGGCAGTAAAAGAAGGGAAAGGTTTTCTATTTTTAACTGTGAAGAAATATCGTCACTTATAGGCCACTACAGCAGAAAGATAGGAGAGAAGAGATTCCCTTTGCAAATCTTTCAAGACAGCATACATGACTGGCATAAGAATCAGCATTTAAGATAGTAGTTTTTAAATTTTTTTTTTTACCTGGCTTAGAACACCGACCACTTGTTCCAGATCAGTATTTATTTACAATTAAAATTTTAGCATTTCAAATTGAAATGAAATACTAAAGCTGAAAATTTCCATTTTGTTCAAGATTAAAATTTATATATATCTACAATGTATCCAACCACATGAAAGTTATGAATAGCTTGAGAATTGGTTGTAACCTAGCAAGAAGAGAGGATCTTATTGTGCATGATAAACAGACTTTGCCATGGGGTTACTCAATCAGCAGTGAAATGTCATTAAATGAAATTGTGTATTGTATGAACCTTGCATTCAGAATGACATTTTATGTGAGATATTTTTGGTAAACATTGCATCATCTGTGTGTCAGTTTGCCCTCTTTAAAGTTCAGTTTTGGTTCCCTTTAACTTTTCATAAAGCTTAATAATAATAATAATAATAATAACAACAACCACCATGTCATAATTCTGCTTGTTCTTCCATTAGTTAGTCAGCATATGCATTACACTGCCATTGCCTCAAATAAATAATGAGCTGTTCCATTTTGATATTAAAGAAAAAGATATAGCAAAAAAAAAAAAAAAAAAAAAAAAAGCATATACATGAGAGATCGAGAGAGAAAGAAAGAGAGAGAGATCGAGGAGAAAGAGAGAGAGAGATCGAGGAGAAAGAGAGAGAGAGATCGAGGAGAAAGAGAGAGAGATCGAGGAGAGAAAGAGAGAGAGAGCGAGGAGAGAAAGAGAGAGAGAGCGAGGAGAGAAAGAGAGAGAGAGAGAGCGAAGAGAGAAAGCAAGGGGAAAGAGAGAGAGAGAGCGAGGAGAGAAAGCAAGGGGAAAGAGAGAGATCAAGGAGAGAGAAATCAAGGAGAGAGAGATAGAGATTAAGGAGAGAGAAATCAAGGAGAGAGAGATAGAGATTAAGGAGAAACTCATGGATTTAATACCTGCTTCAGTGAAATGGAAAGTTGTCAATTTCAAATATTTTCATTTGTACCCACTTCTTTAAATAAGGAACAGCCTTCATATGATTGTTATTGCAATATTTTGTTAAATTTGATTTTGCTTTCTCAATAAGGTAAGAAACAAAAAATGAAAAATGAAGTGGGATTTGTTCTCCCCTCTCTCTGATGGGTTATATTACCATAAGAAATTTCATACTTTTGGGCTGGTTGTTTGTCACAATTAGGTTTGTAGAAGGCTTTCTGTGGAAATGGAATTCTTTGAGTAAGACTAAATTCCTGTTTAATTCATGAATGTGTGAATCTATTTTAAAAATGTATTTCGACTGGGAATTTTGAAGAATGAATATGCTAAAAGGATGCGTCTAATGTTAACAATGCTATGGTATGGTTGGTTGAAATGTGCTTCTCCAGTGAAATTGATGTTGTCAAAAGAGCAACTAATATGCAATAAATATTAGTCTGATCAATATTATTTTGTTGTTTTTTTTATCATTCAAATTTCTTTCACCAGCCTATTACATAATTTTTTTTTTTTTTTTTACTGAGGTTCACCCAATACAAGGCCCAAGAGCCACTCAAAGTAGAGGGTTACTGTGTATGAGCAT